CACATTTCATTGCTATTTGTCACAGCGTTCACAGAAACGCACATGTATCTTGTCTTGTCATGCATCGTTGCTTTAAAGGCCTGAAAGACATGTTTATGAAACAAAACAAATTCCCAACATTTCTCTAGCCTGGACTGAAAGGCTTAAAACAGATATCTCTTTGTCCTCAGCCTCCTCCATGCAGAAATTATCAAACGCTAAATTGGACGAGAAGCCACGGGACAGCTTCAAAGGCCATGGAGTGTGAAGGACAATTCAACACTTCACAGATTTAAAAAGTGTGCATGAGAGCTAATGGCACTTGCTCTTTAAAGTTTTTCTTCATGATGCCGGAATTGTGGGAGTATTATATTAGGTGTTTGGTACGAAGTCACTTGACTAAGTCTTGACAAAAGCCTCGCAGCTTATGACTTTGAACAATTGACACTTATCATTTTTGAGTAACCGGAGAAGTACATTATTAAAGCAAATACTGAGTGGAGCAAATACTGCTTGACAGTGAGGAGTTGTTTCCCACGTGAGCTGGCCGTCTAAACCTTTTTATTAAATGAAACAAAAATGGACTGATTGTCTTTTCTTGTTTTGTGTAAGATAAGGGTAGATAATGAAGTTTGATAATTTGGTTTGTGTGAAATTAAATGAGTGAAATGACTGCGTAGTTTAGCCTCCAGTGTCTTCGGCCATACCATGTGACTTGAGGAGCTTTTAGGCGATCAAATAAGGATTTGCACATGATGTTTGCTTTCCTGTGAGAAACTTACTTGAACTTTATTTTGCCTGTGGCAAGTGACAGTTTCATGCCATTGGCATGGTTACTATGAATGGCTTGAATCATCTCACATTTTTAGTTTACAGTAATCTTGAATTATTTCTTAACATCAAACGTAGCAAATAAATGCCTAGATGAGAGTGTAAGAGTTTGATTCTCACTCATATGCGTTTTAAGTGTAAGGCAACTAAAACATTTTCAAAGACAGTAATATCTTGACAGTGACAAGCAATTTCACTCTGTCTGTAGTTGCCCAAAAAGATTCCCAGTGTTTAGAGCACAGGGTGGATTTGCAGGCATGTGAGGCTGAGTTTATTTTGAGGGAGTGATGCTGTTAATTGTATTGAACAATAATTAGTTATCAAACTTAATATTTAAACACAAACGCAATTGTGACTTTCAGTAGTCAAGACTAGTCAGACAATTATTCATCGATGAAACGTTTAATCTTGTGCAGACACGTGTACGCTTCTGTCTTTGGTTCGTGCAAAGGAAAACTCCCCGTTTTGTACGCTCGTATTGTAACCGTTTCAGTCACTGTCGCCCTCTTAGGGCAAACCAAAGTATAAAGCCAACTAGGGTGGGGCTGCATTTTTAAAGGAAAAAGGAAATAAAGTCAGTCTGATCCACTAGCTTAAGGTCTCGAAACCATGCAAGCAAAACTATTATTATTAAGCTTTTTGCTTTAAAAGATAAAAGTGTGATACCTGAGTTGAATGTACATTTTGTAATTGATGGTTTTGGATTGTTTTTGGCGTCTGACTATTTGATGTATTGAAATATTTACTTATATTACATCTGAATTCCCTCTCCTTTCTTGCTTTTTTTCAGAATATAAAAGAAGACAGGAGAGAGTTTGAGCATTAGCCTTGGCAATTCAGTAGGTTCCCTTATCTATTAGTTTATGACATGCATAAAACATCAGCTATAAGACAAAGAAGAACCTTGTGCCAATTTGTTGCTTTGACAATGGATTGAATGAAAGCATAAGCAGTAACGCCCACTTGCCTTTCAGCAAGAATTGCTGGGTGTATATATTGTTACCAAATTATGATTCATACACCAAACAGTTAAGGTTTATAATGGGTTCCCTCCGCTTTTCAGGTCCCCTTGGTCCTTTTTTACAACAGTAATTAAAATCTGGGGGTTTCCTTTTTTCTAGTTTTGTTTCAATCTTACACTCTCCAGTACGACGCTCTTTGTTGCTAGACCTCAAAGCTTGGTCTGCTTAAAAGGTCCCGACTACAACTCAATAGTTCACAAAGATGTGTTCTATTTCATTGTTGACGTCTTATGATTGTACAAACACTGGAGGTATTATGAAGTGTCTGCTTACATGGATCATAGCAGATCATATGATTTTGGGTAAGAGCCATCTGCTTTAAGCAAATACCCTCCAGTAATGCTCTGGTAGTGACGTGGTTTATACTCTTCTGAAAGCTAAAGGATATCTCACTTATACAAAGAAAGATGAGCTGTGCTATACTTGGTGTCAGAGTTGTTTTGAGCTCAGTTTATGTGGTTAAGAGAAAGTAAGATGTGCCTGCTTGGGCACACAATTAACGTGTTGGGCAATGTAATGTGCCTCTGCTGCCTCTTTGGTCCATGATTGTTCCATGTTTCAGTCATGGATGTACACATCTGCCTTTATCAGAGTTGTTTTGAGCTCAGTTTATGTGGTTAAGAGAAAGTAAGATGTGCCTGCTTGGGCACACAATTAACGTGTTGGGCAATGTAATGTGCCTCTGCTTGCCTCTTTGGTCCATGATTGTTCCATGTTTCAGTCATGGATGTACACATCTGCCTTTATCCTTTTTTTTTTTAATTTATTTTTTTCTTACCCTCCCACTCAGTTTGCTCCTCCAAAAGCGCACTGTGAGGAATCTGTCAGATTTGTGACAACAGCCGCTGTGCAAATGGTACCGTGGACTATATAGGTTTAAAAAAGGGTAAAGGAAGTAGAACATATATGTATAGCGGGACAGGAATGTTGATAGAGGGCGTGGCATCATGTTAAGAGGTATAGACCAGGCTGGGAGAGAAATAATAAGCTTTTGCACTGCTTGCTAGGGAGTTCTTAAGTACACAGCAATGTAGGTTTTCCCCTTCTCCTTTTGTAAATATCAGCTTTAGCCAACAATAATAAGGCACTTTTTCAGGCTTGGGTTTCACAGCTTTCATGTCCCATGTGTAGCATTTCTACCCCTGAGGACTTTGAGAGGTTTTACTGAAATTACATTCAGAGACTTAATGTCTATTAAATGTAAAATATTGTGCATTATTCTGTTGCATGTGATGTTGACTAATCAACAGTCACATAATCAAAGTAGATTTAATATGAAACTAACGTTTCTGTCAGAATTCCAGTTACAGCAACGGTAAAATGTGTTAAATTATAGTAATGTTGATGTGTAGGCCTAGTTGTAGTGTCGTCTTGTTCTCTCCTTAGTGTTGTTTATAATGTTAAAGCCGTCTATTCTTTTAATATCTAACAGCCTCTTATAGTGCTTTAATATAAATATAATATTTTGTATACAATTCAAACGGAATGCAGATGTTTTGTAGTCTGTGCCGTACTGTCGAGGGAAGCATGATTGACTCTCTCAAATGATCTGCTCTGTGCTATCCTGTCTCTGGAGTAAAATGGTCGACATGGACACAAGTCTAGGCTTCTTTCACCCCAATGGGAAGCATATTTAGTGGGAGGCAAGGCAAGTGATATTTATAATTTAGAGGGGAGAAAATGTTCTCATTCTATAAAATACACAGAATTTCTCTAGTCATTTATGAATAATCAATTTTCCGATTAACAAATTTCCAGAAGACAGAGACTATATTTTAAATGCATATATCTCGATCTTAAATGCATATGTTGAACATGCATCTGAACATGCATCAGTTCAACTTTGTTAGTGTTTAGATACTTGCATATAGATGAACTCAAAACTAATAGAAAGACTAAAAGCAACTTTAGCAATTTATTTACATCTTTGCAATTCCTTGATTGCGGCTGAAATAAATTTTCAATTTACATATTTTTTTTTATAGAAAAAATGTAGAATTAATTGTATTTATCATTAGCTTCATGAATGGCTGAGTTGCACCTAAGCCTTTAATATTTGCAGCATTGTTTTCACATTTTATTTTGAGTGTGTACATTCCTTCAGTAATCCACTAAGGTAAGGGTCAGGCTTATTTCAGAAGTGAGTATACTTACTATTTTGAATCAAGGGAGCATTTGGATTGCTTGAATAACTCTTACATCCCACCAATTCATGATTACATGAGACGAAGCTTTTTCCATTTCCATTTCTTACACTCTGTATGGCATTCTGGAATACTTTATTCTGACAGATCAATCATGTTATTGAGCAAACAGATATTTTTGTGTAATGACCGTTGAGCTATATTTTTGACTGTTTTCCATGTCAACATAATGCTACTACTACTCGTATCTTACTTGGCAACAAAGTGGGACATGGACAAATTGACTACACAGCACTTGACTTGAGTTCTGCGTCGCTTTTGGTATAACAAGACATTGATTTTTTTTCTTTGTCACTGGCAAATGTTTTCATAATTAAAATAAACTAGTGCCTCATTTGCTAATCGGTAGTGAAATATGACTGTAGTTTTTTTTCATATCCAAGAGGTCCTGTGTAATTGCAGGGTGGATGATTGTGAGGGGGTGATCTCTCTGAAACAAAGAACTTTCTGTGTTGAAAGCTGCAATGGCAGGCCCACGTCAGCTAAAAAACTCTGAAGCAATGTTCATCAAGCAAGTGACTCCCAGATCTACAGGCTACAGTCTGACTTTCATTTCATTGACATCAGATTTTTAGATATTTTAGATGTTTAATCTGTGTATTAAACTGAGCTTAATGCATTTAAGTGACAAGTTATTGCTCTTGTTCTAAAGCTTTGTTTTGATGCTGAAGAAAATCATGGTATAAAGATAACTCCGTTTTTGCTAGAAAGATGTAGTTAAACCACTGCTAAGTTCCCAAACAGAAATCATGCTGGTTTACTTTCACTTTGCTGGAGACTATATTGCCATCTGGTGGTCTGTTTGATATTTACTGTTGTTAAAAAAACAACAACAAAAAAACACAGCATTGTTTTTTTTATTATTATTATTTTTTTAAATGTATGAACATACTGTTAAACCTATCTGTGAAAGGTTAATTTGAATGCAAGACACTAACTTTCTTTTTCTTTTTTTTGTGTTAAGGAAAGAACAAGGGCTGACACGGTCCACACTAGGGGACAGGTGAAGAAGTAACACATTTAGAGGTACACAGAATGAATATATAGAATGAATAGTTAGATGTGTTTTAGCCATGATGTTGATAGCTACGTGTAATTTACAGCCAAGCCCTGCAATTTTAAGTTACATTTTTTTTATTTTTCAATCACTGAAAAAATACGAAGCACTTTTTTACTGTTCATAAGGTAATTTCTCTCCAGAAAAAAAGCTTTGCTCATTTTAACTCATTCAACTTGAAACTGAATAGTAGTCAACATATATATTTGGTATTGTGTAATAGTTACTATGTTTTACTGTGTTTCATTATGTATTGTGTAATTTCTCATTTTATTTATTTATAAGATGGCTGACGAGCAGGACACAAGGGAAGTGCTTTTCCCACAGTGGATGGGCACTGATACGCTTGGGCTCACCATAGAACAAAAAGGTCAAGGAGAGATTTTTGTCAAAGAGGTGAAAGATGAGTCCCCTGCTGCTCATACTGGGAAAGTATATGAAGGTATGAAGTCAAAAAAACCCTGCCGGTTGTAATGTAATGTGCAAACATTTGGAAAACCTAATTTTAACATTAACGTTTAATTTTTTTTTCTTTTTTTTTTTTAATGAACTAATGCTCTTGTAGGTCTTCCAAATATAATTTATCTATTGTAATTCATTTAGTTTGAACTTACCATGTACTGTTGATTTCTCACAGGTGACCAAATTGTGGGGGCCACCATTTACTTTGACAACATGAGCTCAGAAGAAACGGCTGATCTATTAAAGACTCTAAACCGACATAAGGTTGGACTAAAATTACAAAGTAAGTCTGGAGACAAGTCACCTTGCCGTTCTCCAATGGGGACATTGTCATGGGAAGGACGTGGAGGGTTAGGAGGCTCTAGTTCAGACATTCTTCTGGTAAGGTGGCCTCGTAAATTGTAGATTTTAGTATGATCAGTACTCCCGTATTTAACAAATTAAATTTAACTGAAATGTTTTACACATTTCTCTCTTACATAAATTTCACACAGAAATGGCATGTCGTAGTAATTTGTAATGTTCCATTTCCTGTAGAGTGGGGATGACGAAGACTACAAGAGAATCTACACTAAGAAGATTAAACCTAGACTAAAGTCAGAGGATCTTGCTGAGGGTGTTGATGTGCGCACAGAACGTCACAGCAGCACAAGCAGTGATGGTTGCACCATTACTACAATCACTCGTCGAATAACTACCTACACTGTGGACGTGCCTGGGGGGACTAGTCAGCAGATTGATCACTCAAGCCCTGAGTACAAAATTCAGGTCTTGCAGCATGAGCAGTCGGAGGGGGATTCTACTCAAATCAGATTACCACATAGTAGCCTAGTTAGTGGTGCACACGGAGGTATAAAAATGGGGGACATAACTCTTAGCGGGCCCCATGTCACTGGCTCCACTGTGAAGCACTCTAGCACAGGATCTTTAAAAGCAACAAGTGAATTAGATGGTAGTGGGAAAGAGATTACAATTAATGTGTCAGACACTGGACTGTCAGGTCGTAAAGGACAGATGGTGATAGAACATTTTGGAAGGACTGAAGCTTCTGCAGGCAGTAGTGATCTCTCTGGCAAAGTAACCATGGGGTTAGACAAAGATGTGAGAAATATTTCTTCTCCATTGGAAGCTGGTTTTAAAGCTTCAAGTATGATGGGAGGAACTGAGGTTGCTACAGTAAAGGGCCCTGTTCTGAACACTCGTGTTTCAGGTTTTTCCATTAGTGGAGATACAGGGGGCAGTATTGGCAGGGAATCTTTGTCTGAAGTGCATAAGGATGGGTCTGCTGATAAAACCAAATTGTCTAAATTTACCATAGATGACCCCAAGGAAGGTCAAAATGTAGAAGAGAATTTTAACAATCAAAATCTTAAAGATGTTAGTCAGAGAGGTTTCAGCATAACTGGGAATCAGGAAATGTCAGCTCGGGTTCAGGAACCTGATGCAGTAGTAAGTCTCCCCAAAGCTGATGTAAAAATCACACCACCAGATATGGACATCAGGGGTCCAGAGCTTCACTTTAAAGGACATGAGCGTACTGTCAAAGATGTTAAATTTGATGCACCATCAGTCACTGGTCAAATTTCTATGACAGATGTGGATTTAAACCTCAAAGGACAAAAAGTGAAAGGAGATGTTAACGTGTCTGTTTCGAATGTTGAAGGGAATGTTACAACTTCAAAAATTGAAATTAAAAGGCCAGATCTCGAGGATGTGAAAAGTGGCTTTACGGTTCCAAAGGTCAAAATGTCCTCATTAGGAATAAAAACTTCAGAAGTAAGGGCTCCTGATGTTGATGTAAATCTCGTGAAAGCCAAAATGGAGATTAAAGCACCAGATGTGGATATCAAGACTCCAGATCTTAATGTTGAGAGATCTGAAGTAAAAGTCAAAGATTCTGAAATCAAGATACCACCAATCTCCGGTCCTAATATTGCGGTGTCTGACATGAACTTAAATGTAAAAGGGTCAACATTGAAAGGTGACTTAAATCTGAAAGGCCCAAAACTAAAAGGTGATGTTGATGTGTCTGTTCCAAAAATGGAAGGAGACATTAAAGCACCAAAAGTTGAAATTGAAGGCCCTGACCTTGAGGAACCTGAGGGTGGTTTCAAGATGCCAAAGATCAAAATGCCATCATTCGGACTGAAATGTCCAAAAGTGGAGGGTACAGATGTTGATGTGAAAATTCCTAAAGCCGATATTGAAGTTAAGGCACCAGATCTGGACATCAAAGCTCCAGATGTTGACATTGAAGGACCTGAGGGAAAGATCAAGGGCCCCAAATTCAAGATGCCATCAATCTCTGGTCCAAAGATTTCTATGCCAAACATTGACTTAAAGCTGAAAGGTCCAAAACTGAAAGGTGACATTGACGTGTCCGTTCCAAAAGTGGAAGGAGATAGTAAAGCACCAAAAGTTGAAATTGAAGGCCCAGAAATGGAAGGACCTGAGGGTGGTTTTAAGATCCCAAAAATCAAAATGCCATCATTAGGACTGAAAGGTCCAAAAGTGGAGGGTCCAGATATTGATGTGAAACTCCCCAAAGCCGATATTGACATTAAGGCACCAGATGTGGACATCAAAGCACCAGCCAAAAATGAAAATGCCATCATTCGGACTGAAGGGTCCACAAGTGGAGGGTCCAGATGTTGATGTGAAAATCCCTAAAGCCGATATTGATATTAAGGCACCAGATGTGGACATCAAAGCTCCAGACTTTGACATTGAAGGATCTGAGGGAAAAATCAAGGGCCCCAAATTCAAGATGCCATCAATCTCTGGTCCAAAGATTTCTATGCCAGACGTTGACTTCAATCTGAAAGGTCCAAAACTGAAAGGTGATGTTGACGTGTCCGTTCCAAAAGTGGAAGGAGATATTAAAGCACCAAAAGTGGAAATTGAAGGCCCAGAAATTGAAGGACCTGCGGGTGGTTTTAAGATGCCAAGGATCAAAATGCCATCATTCGGAATGAAGGGTCCAAAACTGGAGGGTCCAGATGTTGATGTAAAAATCCCTAAAGCCGATATTGATATTAAGGCACCAGATGTGGACATCAAAGCTCCAGAGTTTGACATTGAAGGACCTGATGGAAAAATCAAGGGCCCCAAATTCAAGATGCCATTAATCTCTGGTCCAAAGGTTTCTATGCCAGACGTTGACTTAAACCTGAAAGGTCCAAAACTGAAAGGTGACATTGACGTGTCCGTTCCAAAAGTGGGAGGAGACATTAAAGCACCAAAAGTGGAAATGGAAGGCCCAGAAATTGAAGGACCTGAGGGTGGTTTTAAGATGCCAAAGATCAAAATGCCATCATTCGGAATGAAGGGTCCAAAACTGGAGGGTCCAGAGGTTGATGTGAAAATCCCTAAAGCCGATATTGACATTAAGGGACCAGATGTGCACATCAAAGCTCCACATCAAAATGACATCATTCGGAATGAAGGGTACAGATGTTGATGTGAAAATCCCTAAAGCCGATATTGACATTAAGGCACCAGATGTGGACATCACAGCTCCAGAGTTTGACATTGAAGGACCTGAGGGAAATATCAAGGGCTCCAAATTCAAGATGCCATCAATTTCTGGTCCAAAGATTTCTATGCCCTGAGGGAAAAATCAAGGGCCCCAAATTCAAGATGCCATCAATCTCTGGTCCAAAGATTTCTATGCCAGACGTTGACTTCAATCTGAAAGGTCCAAAACTGAAAGGTGATGTTGACGTGTCTGTTCCAAAAGTGGAAGGAGATATTAAAGCACCAAAAGTGAAATTTGAAGGCCCAGAAATTGAAGGACCTGACGGTGGTTTTAAGATGCCAAAGATCAAAATGCCTAAGATGTCAAAGATCAAAATGCCATCATTCGGAATGAAGGTTCCAAAACTGGAGGGTCCAGATGTTGATGTGAAAATCCCTAAAGCCGATATTGACATAAAGGCACCAGATGTGGACATCAAAGCTCCAGAGTTTGACATTGAAGGACCTGAGGGAAAAATCAAGGGCCCCAAATTCAAGATGCCATCAATCTCTGGTCCAAAGATTTCTATGCCAGACGTTGACTTCAATCTGAAAGGTCCAAAACTGAAAGGTGATGTTGACGTGTCCGTTCCAAAAGTGGAAGGAGATATTAAAGCACCTAAAGTGAAAATTGAAGGCCCAGAAATTGAAGGTCCCGAGGGTAGTTTTAAGATGTCAAAGATCAAAATGCCATCATTCGGAATGAAGGTTCCAAAACTGGAGGGTCCAGATGTTGATGTGAAAATCCCTAAAGCCGATATTGACATTAAGGCACCAGATGTGGACATCAAAGCTCCAGATTTTGACATTGAAGGACCTGAGGGAAAAGTCAAGGGCCCCAAATTTAAGATGCCATCAATCTCTGGTCCAAAGATTTCTATGCCAGACATTGACTTCAATCTGAAAGGTCCAAAACTGAAAGGTGATGTTGACGTGTCCGTACCAAAACTGGAAGGAGAAATTAAAGCACCAGATGTGAACATTAAGGGTCCAGAACTTGATATTGAAGGACCAGAGGGAAAAATCAAGGGCTCCAAATTCAAGATGCCCACCATCTCTGGTCCAAAGATTTATATGCCTGATGTGGATTTCAACTTAAAAGGTCCAAAACTGAAAGGTGATGTTGATGTTTCAATTCCAAAAGTTGAAGGAGACATCAAAACACCAGATTTGGGTATCAAGGGGCCCGAACTTGATATAAAATTACCAGAAGGAAAAATCAAAGGCTCAAAAGTGAAGATGCCATCAGTATCTGGTCCTGAAGGTCCAAATGTTGAGGTCAATTTTCCAGAAACAAATGTCAAGAAGCCTAAATTTAAAATGCCCAAGTTTGGATTTAAAGGGCCAAAGATTGAAGCACCTGATGTTGATGTCAAACTTCCGAAAGGATCTAAAGTGAAAGGTCAAGCTGGTGTCAGTTTTGAAGGTGATGTAAATATGCCCAAAGTGGAAGTTGGTTCTCCAAGAGTAGAAGTTAAAAGTCCAGAGGGAGGATTCAAGATGCCAAAATTTAAAATGCCAAAGTTCGGTTTTAAGTCACCCAAAGGAGAAATTGATGTCAGTGTACCTAGTGGTGACATTGGTTTAAAATCATCTGATATTGACATCGAAACTCCTGATCTTGATGTTGAGGGACCTGAGGGACAAATCAAGGGCACCAAATTCAAAATGCCTTCTATATCTGGTCCAAAGATTTCTATGCCAGATGTAGACTTCAACTTGAAAAGTCCAAAGGTCAAGGGTGATATTGATGTTTCTGGACCCAAGATTGCAGGTGACATAAAGGCACCAAAAGTTGACATTGAAGGTCCTGATGTTGATATAGAGGGCCCAGGAGGTGGCATCAAAATGCCTAAAATCAAAATGCCATCATTTGGGCTCAAAGGTCCTAAAGTGGAGGGTCCAGATGTTGACATCAATCTACCCAAAGCAGATTTTGACATTAAAGGACCTGAAATTGACATCAAAACTCCTGATCTTGACATTGAAGGACCTGAGGGGAAAATCAAAGGTCCCAAGTTTAAAATGCCTTCCATATCGGGTCCAAAAATCTCTATGCCAGATGTAGACTTCAACTTGAAAAGTCCAAAAGTCAAGGGTGATATGGATGTTTCTGTACCAAAGATTTCAGGGGACATAAAAGCTCCAAAAGTGGGCATTGAAGGTCCTGATGTTGATTTCGAGGGCCCAGAAGGTGGCTTCAAGATGCCTAAAATCAAAATGCCATCATTTGGACTCAGAGGTCCTAAAGTGGAGGGCCCAGATGTTGACATCAATCTCCCCAAAGCAGATGTTGACATTAAAGGACCTGAAATTGACATCAAAACTCCTGATCTTGACATCGAGGGACCTGAGGGGAAAATCAAAGGTCCCAAGTTCAAAATGCCTTCCTTATCAGGTCCAAAGATCTCTATGCCAGATGTCAACTTAAAAAGCCCCAAGGTCAAAGGTGATATGGATATTTCTGTTCCAAAGATTTCGGGGGACATAAAAGCTCCAAAAGTGGAAATTGAAGGTCCCAATGTTGATATAGAGGGCCCGGAAGGTGTCTTCAAGATGCCTAAAATCAAAATGCCATCATTTGGACTCAAAGATCCTAAAGTGGAGGGCCCAGATGTTGACATCAATCTCCCCAAAGCAGATGTTGACATTAAAGGACCTGAAATTGACGTTAAAGCTCCTGATCTTGACATTGAAGGACCTGAGGGAAAAGTCAAAGGTCCCAAGTACAAAATGCCTTCCATATCAGGGCCAAAGATCTCTATGCCAGATGTCAACTTAAAAGGCCCCAAAGTCAAAGGTGATATGGATGTTTCAGTACCAAAGATTTCAGGGGACATAAAGGCCCCAAAATTTACGTTAAAGCTCCTGATCTTGACATCGAGGGGCCTGAGGGGAAAATCAAAGGTCCCAAGTTTAAAATGCCTTCCATATCAGGTCCAAAAATCTCTATGCCAGATGTAGACTTCAACTTGAAAAGTCCAAAAGTCAAGGGTGATATGGATGTTTCTGTACCAAAGATTTCAGGGGACATAAAAGCTCCAAAAGTGGCCATTGAAGGTCCTGATGTTGATTTTGACGGCCCAGAAGGTGGCTTCAAGATGCCTAAAATCAAAATGCCATCATTTGGACTCAGAGGTCCTAAAGTGGAGGGCCCAGATGTTGACATCAATCTCCCCAAAGCAGATGTTGACATTAAAGGACCTGAAATTGACATCAAAACTCCTGATCTTGACATCGAGGGACCTGAGGGGAAAATCAAAGGTCCCAAGTTCAAAATGCCTTCCTTATCAGGTCCAAAGATCTCTATGCCAGATGTCAACTTAAAAAGCCCCAAGGTCAAAGGTGATATGGATATTTCTGTTCCAAAGATTTCGGGGGACATAAAAGCTCCAAAAGTGGAAATTGAAGGTCCCAATGTTGATATAGAGGGCCCGGAAGGTGTCTTCAAGATGCCTAAAATCAAAATGCCATCATTTGGACTCAAAGATCCTAAAGTGGAGGGCCCAGATGTTGACATCAATCTCCCCAAAGCAGATGTTGACATTAAAGCTCCTGATCTTGACATCGAGGGGCCTGAGGGGAAAATCAAAGGTCCCAAGTTTAAAATGCCTTCCATATCAGGTCCAAAAATCTCTATGCCAGATGTCAACTTAAAAGGCCCCAAAGTCAAAGGTGATATGGATGTTTCAGTACCAAAGATTTCAGGGGACATAAAGGCCCCAAAAGTGGACATTGAAAGTCCAGATGTTGATATTGAGGGCCCAGAAGGTGGCTTCAAGATGCCTAAAATCAAAATGCCATCATTTGGACTCAGAGGTCCTAAAGTGGAGGGCCCAGATGTTGACATCAATCTCCCCAAAGCAGATGTTGACATTAAAGCTCCTGATCTTGACATCGAGGGACCTGAGGGGAAAATCCAAGGTCCCAAGTTTAAAATGCCTTCCATATCAGGTCCAAAAATATCTATGCCAGATGTAGACTTCAACTTGAAAAGTCCAAAAGTCAAGGGTGATATGGATGTTTCTGTACCAAAGATTTCAGGGGAAATAAAAGCTCCAAAAGTGGACATTGAAAGTCCTGATCTTGACATTGAAGGACCTGAGGGGAAAATCAAAGGTCCTAAGTTCAAAATGCCTTCCATATCAGGTCCAAATATCTCTATGCCAGATGTTAACTTGAAAAGTCCAAAAGTCAAGGGTGATATGGACATTTCTGTACCAAAGATTTCAGGGGACATAAAAGCTCCAAAAGTGGCCATTGAAGGTCCTGATGTTGATTTTGACGGCCCAGAAGGTGGCTTCAAGATGCCTAAAATCAAAATGCCATCATTTGGACTCAGAGGTCCTAAATTGGAGGGCCCAGATGTTGACATCAATCTCCCCAAAGCAGATGTTGACATTAAAGGACCTGGAATTGACATTAAAGCTCCTGATCTTGACATCGAGGGACCTGAGGGGAAAATCCAAGGTCCCAAGTTTAAAATGCCTTCCATATCAGGTCCAAAAATATCTATGCCAGATGTAGACTTCAACTTGAAAAGTCCAAAAGTCAAGGGTGATATGGACATTTCTGTACCAACGATTTCAGGGGACATAAAAGCTCCAAAAGTGCACATTGAAGGTCCTGATGTTGATATCGAGGGCCCAGAAGGTGGCTTCAGGATGCCTAAAATCAAAATGCCATCGTTTGGACTCAAAGGTCCTAAAGTGGAGGGCCCAGATGTTGACATCAATCTCCCCAAAGCAGATGTTGACATTAAAGGACCTGAAATTGATATTACAGCTCCTGATCTTGACACTGAAGGACCTGAAGGAAAAATTAAAGGTCCCAAGCTCAAAATGCCTTCCATATCAGGTCCAAAGATCTCTATGCCAGATGTCAACTTAAAAGGCCCCAAAGTCAAAGGTGATATGGATATTTCTGTTCCAAAGATTTCGGGGGACATAAAAGCTCCAAAAGTGGAAATTGAAGGTCCTAATGTTGATATAGAGGGCCCGGAAGGTGGCTTCAAGATGCCTAAAATCAAAATGCCATCATTTGGACTCAAAGGTCCTAAAGTGGAGGGCCCAGATGTTGACATCAATCTCCCCAAAGCAGATGTTGACATTAAAGGACCTGAAATTGATATTACAGCTCCTGATCTTGACATTGAAGGACCTGAAGGAAAAATTAAAGGTCCCAAGCTCAAAATGCCTTCCATATCAGGTCCAAAGATCTCTATGCCAGATGTCAACTTAAAAGGCCCCAAAGTCAAGGGTGATATGGATGTTTCTGTTCCAAAGATTTCAGGTGGCATAAAGGCACCAAAAGTGGACATTGAAGGTCCTGATGTTGATATCGAGGGCCCAGAAGGTGGCATCAAGATGCCTAAAATCAAAATGCCATCATTTGGTATCAAAGGTCCTAAAGTGGAGGGCCCAGATGTTGACGTCAATCTCCCCAAAGCAGATGTTGACATTAAAGGACCAGAAATTGATATTAAAGCTCCTGATCTTGACATTGAAGGACCTGAGGGTGGTTTAAAACATGTTAAGTTCCCAAAATTCAAAGGTCCCAACTTTGGAATAAAGCCTTCAGGTGGCAGTCTTTCAATACCTGAAAAAGATATAGGGGCGAGTATTGATGTCAAAAGCCCTGATGTCAATATCAGTGGACCAGATGCAAATATCAAGGTGCCAAAAATGAAAAAATCAAAATTTTCGCTTGGAGCTAAGAGCCCAAAATTAGATGCAGATATTCCTGATGCTGGTGGTAGTGTAGAAGGACCTGATATGAACATAGATGTGAAAGGAAAGAAAGGTAAATTCAAATTGGCCAAAGGGAAGGGGAAGTCTAAAACATTTGATGGTGATATGAAGACAGAAACTGTCAAGTTGGAGACAAATGAACCTGACCTACAGATGAAGTCAACCAAAGTAAAGAAACCTTTTTTTGGAAAGTTACGTTTTCCTGATGTGGAATTTGACATCACATCTTCAAAAGCTAAAGGTAGTCCATCTGCCTCTGGAACTATAAAATCATCTGCTGATTTGCCTTCTGCAAGCCTTAAAACTGATATTCAGACACCAGATGCTAGTTTGGATAGTCCTGATTTCAAAACAAAAGGAGGAAAAATCAAAATACCAAAAGTCGGCATCTCTGGCTCTGAAATAAAAACTCCTGAACTAGTTGTTAGAGATGCAACTTTAGAGGTTCCAGAAAAGACCTTTCAGTCCTCAGGTGTCAGTGTAGCAGGATCAGGCATTAATGGAAAAGGCAAGGCTAAAATTGACATAGGAGGAAAAATACAGGATGTTAAGTTGACAGTGCCTACTGTAAATGTCCATGGTGGTGCTTTAGATGCTGATTTAAATCTCACTGAACAAAAAGGAGTAAAAGGGAGCATTGAAATACCAGGCTTTAATGTAAGAGGACAAAAGGGAGAGACTGCAAGTGGGTTAGACATGAAGCCAGATGCATCATTATCTGGTGTGATGGAGTACCAAGAAGGTAATGTAACCTTTCCTAAAATCAAAGTACCAAAGTTTGGTGTTGCATTGCCTAAAGTAGATGGAGGCGAGATGAGAGTAGATGTAGGTTCAGGTGAATTGGCTGCTGGTTCTAAAGTTACTTCCCAAAGTCTGGAAATTGAGAACACTGATATGAAAAGCAGTGGTGGAAAAGTGAAAGTCAAAATGCCAAAATTATTTGTCAAATCTAAATCTAAAGGTGGCAGTGCAGCTGATCTTACTGTTGAGGGAGAAGGTGTTGATGTTACAAGTAAAGGTGGTGCAAAGGTGTCTAAGGAGTTGAGCCTTAGTTCTGGGGAATTGACAAGTGGCAAGTTGACAGTAGAGGGAAGCTCTGGGTTTAAAGTTTCACCAAAGAGTAAATCTGCCTCCCTTGACCTCTTCAAAAAAACACAACATCACTCATCCTCTGTAAGTGATGAGGGAGGTTTAGCTTCCCCTGTTTCTGCTGAAGGCCACTTACAGGCAGAGGGTGGCAACATTTCAGTTGATGTTGGAGAAAAGGCCAAAGGCAAAAAAGGAAAGTTGAAGTTTGCTACAATTGGAGGTTTTAGCTCAAAAAGTAAAGGTTCATATGAAGTGACAGATGAAAGTGAGGTTAGGATTGAGGATGCTGGTGGAGTTGCTCAGTCTTCAAAGAAGTCCAGAATGTCATCATCATCCAGCAGTGATAGTGGGTCAAAAGGCAGTTTTCGGTTTCCACAACTCGAAATAGCGGTGTCACCAAAGAAATAGCTTTCACGCTAGTATCTATACACAGTACATTCACATACACACTTTGTAAATGTAAATCTGTCTTTCATTTAAACAATAGTGCACTGCCATATTGACTGTTTCTTCAATTCCCACATATGTTCTTTACAGGCGTTGATATATATATAATTTTTTTTTCTCTGAATCACAATTTAACTGTAAATAAGAGAAATCTGTTATGTAATTTTAATTTTGTTTTGTAGATAGGAAATTCAAATCCAATCCAACAATGTGTGTAGTTAATATAAAAATCTGTCATCTGATAACTTGTTCTATTTTTGTACCTTAGAAAGTTTTGGAACTATGTTGTCCTTTCTAAAATTGTCTGGACACATTTAAATGCAAGAGGAGTGATTTTAGTTAGATTTGAAAGGTTTTTAAAACTTCAGCTTCACTTACATTAGCAGTGCTGTATCATATGTACTCATTGCATATGAATAACTAATTTGAGCAGTGATAAACCAGATCTCAGTGAGCACAATGAAGTTTAAGGGCTGTACAAACTGTAAATAATTTGATTCAAAACAGATACATGGGATAACGTAACTTTGTGTCCCAAATATTATGACAGTTCAGATATTATGGAATTTACACAGAGATTATAATCTTCTAAAGTATTTATATCTAAGACTGTCTTTTTCAATGATTGCTTGGATATCATTAAAATGCACACCAAGAAGCAGCTGGCAAAAGCTTTGCTTTTAATGGTTTCGAAGGCATTTTTCTTTTGTTCTATCTTCCACATTTCTTTACATCCGGTTGACTCTCTCTCTTCCTCTCACTAAATTTATGAAATGCCGTGTTGTCATGTGGTGATATAACTACAGGAATGCTAATGCCAATGGTAAAACATTAATATTTTGAAAAGGCATAAAATGTGCATTTGGCCTTGTAAGTAATGGGACATTTAGGCTGCAAGTTTCTATTTTTTTTCCCCCTTGTATCAGTTGCAATAAAAATTTTAATAAAGTGAACAATTATCAATACTTGTGTGTTGAATGTGACTCATTTGCATTAAAGTACGAAACATGTACATGAATGCACTCATCTTCTGTATTGTAATGCAAAACCACACAGAACAGTTTTGTTGGAACATTAACTTGAATATTAATGTCACCATACTCCTTAAAACAAGGTTGCATTTTTTCAAATGTGTTGAATCTAACCGTTATGCTTTCAGCTTTCTATGAATACTTTGATAGGAGCCAACACCAAGAAAACAGGAAATGGCTTTCCTGTCCTGGTTCGCCAAACCAGTTCTAAGGAAGGAAATGATCAGGAAATTCCTTTGAGGGAGGAAAGTGTGGTTTGTTTTGTATGCAAATATTCGTTAGCAGAACTGGGGTGAGAAAAGAAAAGAGACCATCCATTTTATGGTTAGCTTGAAATCTATGACAAGCTGAGCGGAATACAGACAAGCGCCCATATTTGTCCTATTTCGTTTGAAAGGTAAGACATAAATGATTGTCTTTTACTATGCTACTGACATTACAAGGAATTGAGTGGATTAGGGTGAATTTCTTTTGTCTTTGAACATGTTTGATTCTGAGACAGACTTGTGCTGTTTTATATGTACAGATTACATTTTTAATGTACTGATTTCCTTCTGATTCCTGGTCGCTCCAGGTTTGTCAAATTTTAAGAGGGGAAATATTATAGGATTTACTAGAAGTAAACTGGTTTCCAATTTGTATGATTAGCATCACAGAATTTTTGCACAGATATACCTGTTCTACATCAAAGCCATGAAAAGAGGCTGTTTTGACAGGAGGTAAAATTACATGTACTACACTTATAATAATAAAAGGATTAATAAAGGAGTCAAATCTGCATTAACACCGGAAAATAACCAGTGCATGAAGAGCCAGTGGGTTTGGAGTGTTGTTCCTTCATCAATGCTCCTTGTTGTAGAATTATGATTATTTATGTGTTATGCAGGTAGGAAGAATCTCTCTTTATCTGGTAGGGCAGATGTTTGTGAATAATACAGTGAGCAGCAGTCTAAGCTGACATCTCTTGTATCAAAGAGATTTAAACAGATGGTGTCCTTGACTCCTACAGGAATAAGAGGATAGACTGTGCTTTTATTTCAGTTCATACTGGTGTGTACTGGTTTTGCACCAAAATAATCACCTATATATGTCTTATGCCTCAAAATCCTTTTCAGAGGATATATATATATATATATATATATATATATATAT